GCAACCAATCGGAGTTAGGTCATGGCATGGAGCCGTGAGTATAATATATTGGACCAACTGAAGTTGGACCGGCCAACCGAAGTTATGCTGAGGCATTGAGCCTTATGTCGACAGTCTCCGAAATGGAATAAAATGTTATTGGGCTATGCTACTACTGTGTATAATCATTCGATATCAGTATCAAATGGGAGAGAAGAAATTTTGGAATTCCTTGTTCGTTCGACAGTCCCCATGTTATTCCAAATGTAGGAAGCTTACTCGACCTACTAGAATTGGGTGGAGTATGGAAACGAGCAATTTAGTGAGTTTTGAACAACTTGGCTCGTTGGGTTGTGTCAAGCATGGTGCTTGGATGCACATTATGTCGAGTATGCAAGATGGAGTTCAAAATTGGACTTCAAACGTTTGTGGATCTTGCTTGGGCAACTATCACATCGTAGGTTGCGAGCACGAACTAATACTCTCTAAAGTGTGCATGATGTCGTGACCTCACGTTGTGAACCTTATGACGCGCGTTCATGTACAGTAAACATGAGTGCCAAAATGTTGGCTAATGGTAGAACGTTGTAATTTGCTTTCTGGAAACTTGTCTTATGAAGGAGTGATTTTTTTTCTCTCCAGTTACTAGTCTTTTCACACATTTAATGTAGGCGTGTTGAGTCGACATTCCTTTTTGGTGTATTAGATGTTGACACTGGCGATTGCAATTACCTGCGTTTCTTTTCTAATGGCTATGCTTTATCTTTTGATTTCTGCCATGTGGAAATGTTTAAACAGCTAAAGTTGATTCCTGCTTGGAAGCATTCTACTATAAGTTGAGATTTGAACCGTTGTTTGCCATTTTTGCCGAGTCGTCTTCTTCATTCGCAAAAACCCTAGCAACAAGCATTGCACTTTGTTTTTTTGGCAAGACTTTCTTAGCGTTTCAACAATCTTATCGACAATTTCTCTAGGCGATTATTTGTCAAACTACACAACGTAGTGTTTCTTTCCTTTTGTGGCTTACTGATTTCATTTTTGCTATCGTTTATGTTTGCCATTATTGTCTGTAGAACTTCTAGGTCATTCTCAGGATAGAACTTAGTTTAGGCCGTCATGAACTAGCTATTAGGTGACTTGTAGATATAGATTTCCATTCTCTGAAGCCGAGGGCAAGTGCGATTGAAAGCCAGTGACTATGACACTTTATTCACTTTCAAAGAGTGTAATCTTAGGGCTAAATCTGATATTTGTTTTCATTATTTTCATATGTCTTAGGGTAGTAATTATTCTTATGGGGTACGTAAGTATGCAGAGGACATATCTTCGTCTTCATCGAGTTCTTCGAGCGCATAGTCTGTCCACTCCGTTCCTTTATTGTTGACTATTGAGGCTTTACCCAGAGAATCTCTTGGTAATGAGGACACGGACCAGGAGAGCAAAGTGAATGTGTTCCCAAACTCTATTAATCCCTTTGAATTAGGTGTCGGTCTTTCTGAGCGGGGTTCCTTTAATCCTATTGCGATCACTTAGGTAGAGTTGAACCGCGTCAAAGATCAATACGTGATCTGCGCCTCTTAGCAACTTGGGGAGGTATTTGGCTCAACAACCTCCTCCTAGGCAGGCTGCAATCTTGGAGGCAATCCTCAAGTGCGAAGTGATTGATAAGTGCTTGAAAATGCACCTATATTTAGTGGTTTATCATAAGTATTTTTGGGAAATTAGGGTTAATTTGCATTAATTAACTTAATTGTTTCATAAATATACTTTTCAGGATCAGGGGTATTTTTGTTGTGTTTTCAAGGTATAATTTCTTTAAAATGATATTTGGATGGATGACAATGTTTGCGAGAGAGTTTCTGACGACTAGAAACAAACGGTCCAAAAATCGGTGTTCAAATGAGGAAGTTATAGCGTATTTGCATGGAATACAAAATTTGAAAATGCTTGAGTTTTTAGCATGCTTCAGTATTTCGATTATAAATTGGGTTTTAAACCTTGGATTTGGATGATTCTTAGACCACTAAAAAGTTAACTCGAAGGGCTACAATTCTCAGGTCTATTACATCTTCATATTTGGACGTTTTTGTGATTGAAATTGAAGGTTTTTCTACATTGTGGCATGAAAAAGTCAGTGATGCGACATTCATGCTCAGGTTTGAAAGGGTGGTTTTTGGAAAAGCATGCCAAGGCATGAAAAAATTCATGCTACGGCAGGTGTGGTGAATGTGTTCAATGTCGAGGCATGAAAAAATTAATGTCCTGGCATGGCGGAGGAAACCTAGGTGTTTTAGGATTCTTGTACTACTTACTCCGAATTTTATGGTCTTACTTTGTATAGGATTTTTCCTATCACTTTCCCACAACCCTAGCACTATAAAAGGATGTCTTTAGGTATTTAGAGAGAGAGAGAGAGAACAATAAACTATATATTCAAGAATTTTAAGAGAAAGAGAGATTGAAAGAAGCTTCGAGAAGAAGGTTTGGAGGAGATCATCATCAACTCCATTAATCTATCCAAGCTTTACTAAGTTTTTCTTCTCCTTTGCTATTATTTGTTATCAATAATATGATGATATTTTTATTTTTATTCATGGATAACTAATTATTTTGTGATTGAGGGTGACTTCAAAACCCTAGATATGTTTTGTAAATAATAAAATCTGTAACTTTTTTTATCTTTTGATACCTCTTGATTATGTGATTAATTCTCTATGAAGAGTGTTTAAATACATCGTCTTTAATTGTTTAAGTGGCCGATTAAATAGTTAAGTTAATCTATTATTGCCAATTTAGATTGTCTAGTACAAATTGCTTTACTAATCTAAATAACTAGTGGTTAATTGGCTACTTGCATGCATTGCGGGTAATCACTCGAGATAATTAAACCGATCATATGAGTTTAGCCTTGATTCAATATGTCGCTCACATCTTATTGCTTTTATTACTTTGAATGTAGAGATCGTATCCTAGGTTATTTAATAAATAGGGAATTGGGTTACAACCGTATCTAATCCAACAACTCAATAAAGAGAGATGAAGCTTATCATCGTTTAGTATTTTCTGAGATAATATAATCAAGAGAGTAGGAAGTTAAAGGGTGCTTTTATTGATTTGCATTACATGTTTAGTAGTGATGAATGATCCTTCAATCGAAGTTATCTCATATTTTTTCACTCTTATAATTATGCTAGTTGTTTTTAATTAGTTATTTAAATAGTTGTTTTTAATATTTTGTTTAATCATAGAAACCCCTTATTTAAGTAGGTAATTAGTTAATTAGAAAAGTCTTCTGCAGGAAAGACCCTTACTTGCTCTGTACTGTTACACGACATTGCTACAGATTTTAAGTGAGGTAAAATTAGGTGTTGCTTTTGCACGTATCAGAATGACATCATTTCATGATGCCGTTCATAATTATGTCCAAAATGAAACAAACGTCTAGTCAAGCTAAAACTTTCATCTAAAAGGAACAACCAAATCGAACAACTGTCCAGTCAAGTCGTTCTAAGCATATTAGAAGACTTAGACGAAACAGGTTGAAACACACATATGAAGAAGGAACAACCAAATAGAACAACCGTTCTTCAAGACCGTTTCACATGAACGACGTAGTTCCATCACATCGTTCATCATCCTAGAATCTTGGCACTTTTTGCGACTTGAAGAGGAACACCCGTTCCATGAGAGGAATGCTCGTTCCAAGTTTAAAGTCAAGATTTTGCCTATAGAAGATTTCGAGCTCAAGTCAAGGTTTTAGAAATTACAAGTCAGACCTAAACGACCTCAATGAACGCCTATTCCCATAAATTATCAAGCCATTCTAAGAAGGAACAACACCATTCCAAGAAGTTGTTCAAAGTTTTGGAATTTTCTGGACTTCAAAAGATCCAAGATGGAATGACCATTTTGGAGAAGGAATGCCTGTTCATGATAGGGGAACGACTATTCCAAGTAAGGGAACAATCATTCCAAACCCTAAAATTTAAAGAAAAGTGACCGTTGGTGTCAAGAATGCCCGTTCCTTTGGGTTTTGCAGTTTTGCAGAAAGCTACAGTGCATTAAATGAAGCAATGGCTCTAATTTATTTCAATGGTTGGTGAAGACATAAATAGAGAGAGGTACTGCAAGAGAACAAGAGAGATAATAGTACAACAATCATCAATCAATCTTGCAAACCCTAGAACTTAATCTTAAACTAAAATTACCTCTCACTTGTACTCAAACTCATATCCTTAGAGAGAAATTTGAAACCCATTGTGTATCAACTTGGCTTAGAGGCAATCATTCACAAAAACATTTTATTTACCTTGTGGGCGAATTCCTGTAAAACTAAAGGCGAAATTCTGTCAAACTATTATAGAGAGGAAATCTTGTCAAAACTATTGTACTGGCAAAATCCAAGTCTAATGGAACTTCAAGGAGGTTGCCTTGAAGAAGTGGATGTAGGAAATGTAGGAGACTCTTGATCAAAGCTTCGATCCATTATAAATCTATGAGCATTTCTCTTCTCTCAACTCATTTATTACTTGTTGATTATTTATTGCTTTTTATTATTGTTAGTTACTGCTCCTAAGGTTTGGGTAGTTGAGAAATTTATTATTTTGTATTAATTTTTATTAACTCCCATTCACCCCCTGGTTTTACAAACACACATTCGACTTTCTCCAAAAAGATAATTTGATTAGTTCCTTTATCTTCTTAAAATACATGTTTTTATTTCAAAAGTAAATTCAAATACTTGAATTATTTACTATAAATTGAGGAAATATATGTATATTTTTTTTTTTTTATAATATAGAATTGTTTTTGCCTACAAATACAAATTAATTTGAATAATCTCAAAAGGACCTTATAAACAATGGGCCAACCTACGACATGTCGTTTGGTGAGAGAAGACCGACGGCTGTTCAAAATTTTAAAAAACAAAAACTTAACTAAAAACAAGTAAAATAGCATTGGATAAGTGTCGTTTGTTGGTTAGCTCTGCCATCTGCCGGTCAAAATTGTTTCAATCGTTTCTAGACCACCACGCATTCAGAGGATCACGTTGAATTCAATCTTTGGATAACCAAATAATTTTTTATTTTCTTAATTTCCATAATTTTTTTTTAATTTCAAATATATATATATCGAACACCATTTCTTTTATTTTATTTTTGTATTTATATTTATTTAAGTTCTGGATTGGTGTATCTTTTACGTCAAATGAGCCCGTCTCGTTGAGAAAAAATAAAATAAAATAAAGGTAAATTCTTCTCGATAATACCATTTTATTTATATTTTTATTAGTAGATTTTTATATTATTAACAATTTACAGGAGGAATTTTATGAGAATTTTGTTGTTTTAATTAATGTTTTTGATATAAATGAAATATGATGGGATCATGGGAATTGTTTAATAATCATAGAAGAGCTGAGACTTAATTAATTAATTAATTAATTTTACATGATTAATATTCTAATTCTTTTTTATTCCTTCCAGTTCATTAAAAATTTGAAACAATGTCTTGTCGAAAGTCAAGACCACCAAGTGTAGCCGAGAAATCTTTGTCACTTGAAGAACAACAAGCCAAGGTATAATTTTGATGAATGAATGTGCTGTTAATTTTTTTTTTTTTTTAATTCATGTAAGGGTTTTTTTTCCTGGGTAGTTTCAGGTTGATTGTTGTAGTTCTTTTGAATATTTGAATCTTCTTTTTGTTCTTATTTTGGTTGTATGCACAAAGTTTGTGAAAAATTCTCATTGTTTGAGAGCATTTAACTGGGGTTTAACAAAATCTTGAACGAAAGAAGTTCTTACAGGTTGTTTAATTGGGTTTGGTTTGATTCAGATCAATGATGTTAGGAGAATGTTGGGGACTAAGGCTGATAAAATTCCAGCCCTTTGTTCCGACACGGCGATAATAAGGTATCTCAGAGCAAGGAATTGGAATACAAAGAAGGCGACCAAAATGTTGGACGAAAGCTTGAAGTGGAGGCTGAAATACAAGCCAGAGAATATCAGATGGGTATGAGTTTCATGCTTTGCAATTGTTTGTTTTTTGCATGATTAATTTGGCTTCTTGAAGGAAGAAAATTAAATGGAAATATACACTAAGTTGTACTTGGAATGAAGTTCAATGTAACTGAGTTATTGGGTTGATTGTTTGACTGAATGGTTTCTTATTGCTGCGACCAGTGTTTCTCAAATAGTTTTGATATTTCCCAAAATAACTGTGTTCCATTATATATAGATGGGTAACCGCCATTTCAGGGATAAAACAATATGATTAAGGCAATATGCTCAAAAAGTATAAATTGCTTTACAAATGGGCCTAAAGTTGTAACTGAATTTATAGTTATTATTTGAGTTTGAGGTGTTTTTTAAGATTTTGATTTTATCTAAAACAGTGTGAATGATGAGGCTTCATGTTTTGCAGTCTTGACACAACACTGCTTGCTTGTTGCTTAGGATAGTTTCATATTGTCACTATTGTTCTCTCAATGAAAGAAACCTTTTGTCCTTGCTTTAGGAAGACATTGCACAAGAAGCTGAAACTGGAAAAATTTATAGAGCAGATTACCATGACAAGTTTGGAAGGGTGGTTCTTATTTTGAGGCCAGGTTTCCAGGTAGTTGCATTAGTATTACTACATGGTTCTTTATCTCGTTTTGTTATTGTTTTTACTACTGTGAGTTTAATGATTGAAAATGATGATGACAAATTTTAACAATTTCACTTTGTCAGAATACAAAGTCAACCGAATTGCAGATCAAGTACTTGGTATATTGTATGGAAAATGCTATAATGCATTTGAACCCTGAGAAGGATCAAATGGTTTGGCTTATTGATTTTCAAGGGTGGACGATGTCAAGCATATCAATGAAGGTGACTCGAGAAACAGCTAATGTCTTGCAGAATCATTACCCTGAGAGATTGGGTCTGGCAATCCTTTACAATCCCCCTAAAGTATTTGAATCTTTTTGGGTGGTATGTCATTTCATCTTGATTCTTATATAATCTTTGCCTTTTGATTTGTGGTATAGCAGTACTCTGTAAATCTTAATACAGTAGGTGGCTTAATAGTATTATTCAGTCATAATTAATCACAGAATATGCTGACCCTCCACTTTCATTAATTCGTAATTAGAGATGCCTGTTTACTTATGTAGACTTTGTCATAAACAATTACTGAAACACTAAGTCTGTTTCTTATTTTGCTATAATTGGGTTAGAATCAGTGACCCTTTTCTTTCATAACAAATAATGATAATTTGTGAACCATCAGATCAAGCCAATCAACTCATGCATTCATGAGTAGAGTGAAATTCAAAAATGTGAATGTCCGCATAAGTGAAGACCTACCAATATACATATGTGTGCATAACTCTATGCTTTCTAAAATCTTTGGATAGTTATTTAAGAACCTCTTCTGTCAATCTATCCAAAATAAGAGATAGACTCTGCTTTAAATATCAGTTCCAAGTGTAGTTGTTTTAATTTAATTACTTTGTTTTATTGATTTTACCATCAACTTTGGCCTGCTGATAACTATGAGCAGTTTATTTTTACATGAGATCAGTGTTTTAGAGCATTCTAGGAATTTCATGAAGTGAATTCGATACCATTTTTCTATTTTTTTTTTTTTTTTTAATCTGAATTTGAAGAATGAGCATAACAAGGGTATAGAAAATATTGCTAGCATTTTCACCATAAAGCTGGTGAAAAATGAAAAATTAGTGTCTCCTGCTATGTCAACTCCCTGTGCCAAGCAAACTTGCTATGAACTTTGATATAATCTATTTTATGAGACTTATGGTGAAACATATTTTTTGCTACAGTTGGTTAAACCTTTCCTTGAGCCGAAGACATACAAAAAAGTCAGGTTTGCCTACTCTGATGACATTCAGAGCCAGAAGATAATGGAAGCTCTCTTTGATATGGATAAGTTGGAATCCGTATTTGGAGGGAAAAACACTGCTGGGTTCAACTATGAGGCATATGCAAAACGTATGAGGGAGGATGATGCTAAAAAATCTGACATCATGAACTCTGGATCTTCTCTACCAATTATCCAATCATCAGTTGCATCTCAATCACATGAATCAGAATTATTGGCTTCAGAACAACAGTCAGATTCATTGGGTTCAGACCCATGTTCTGAAGCTTCTGATGAATGTGAGTTATCATCTGTTGATGAAACAGCCTCGAAGGTGGAATCCATTGATAGCAAAACACCAGTACCAACCCTAACCTGCAACGATGTTCCAAATATTGAAGCAGCAGAGCCAAAGGAAGTGCATTGAGTGAGTTTGTCTGAAATATGAGCATGGCTTCTGGCTTATCTGATTCTTCTTCCAAATTTTGAACATGCTTTCTTGCATCTTATACAATTAGTTCTTCCAAGCAAGAATTTTGACTAAAATGTTGGAATGATACAAGAGGCTTGTATCCATGTACAAATGTCAGTTGCACAAGAAGACGATCTTCCGCAGCTGATATTAGAGATCTTTCAACTAGCAAAATGTAAAAAGGAAGAAAAGCTATGTCTCACTCAAAGATAGAACTCTCTTGCTTAAGTTATTTTAAAATATTTGTCGTTTATTTATTTTTCATGTAGAAAACTCCAATGTTAGCAACGATTAGGAAGTAATTATTAAATGTGGGTACTAGACTGCTAGCTAATTTAGTTAGTTCGATCTCTTGAATCGTATAAAAGGTCTTGGGATCGATTCCCGCTCACGCAAGAGTGGGGACTGGGGAGTGGTTTGGTTTGGTTTAAATATGCAAGTTTGCAGAATAATTAGAATAAGAGTAAGCAATAATTAAATGTATGGGGTTATATGCACTTACTTTTTTAAGTACATATATTATTAAAAATTTAGAAAAAAATCTTTTTTCAACTCTAAACAAATTTATGTGTTTTCATTGTATATTTAATTCAACAAAGCTTTGAGAAATTTTTGAGAATATGTTGAATAAATATCTGAATTTGAAAATATTAATGTGTATTTAAAAAAAAAAAAAAAATTGTTAAAAGTGTTTTATTGGTGCATATAACATCAGATACTAACTAGAGTATTTAATTTAAGAGCAATCCTAGAACTGAAATGAGGTTGCTTAAGTGTTTTAAACATTGTTAAATGGTCATTATTATTCATATGGAGTAAGATTTTTTGCGGTTTTTATTATATTTATTTATTTTAACTATTAATCTGATAAAATCTCTGAAGAGAATTTGATACATGATTAAAGACACAGCAGAAAATTATTAAAGTACAGCTAGATGAATATTGAAAAATCTCATGTTTAACAATTTTTCTGAGAGATCAGCCACTTTCTTCCAATGACAGATGCAGAAAGGTTATTTATGGAGGATGAAGCCAAGTCAAATTCACACATCATTTATTTAATTTAATTATATTTTTTTCTTTTCCAATTTAGTTACTAAATGAGTTGTGTAAACTGCCTAGAATTTATTTACTTCAAATTTTTTTTTTTTTTTTTTTTTTGTTTTCTTTTTTGATTAGTTAAGAGTCATGTTAACTTCTTAAAAGGGAAATTGTACTATTTAGTTCTATTTTAGGGTGTGAAATAAAAACTAGGCCGAACGACATGCACCCACCCATAGTTTTCCATAAAGACAATTTGGTACCCGAAAGGTTTGAAAATGACAATTACCCACTTTCTGTCCAAATTTGTTAGTAAAATCCGTTTAACTAAAGACAATATAGTAATTTTATATCCAACCAAAAAATAAACTTTAATATTCATAATTGATTTTAAATTAATCCATAAATCCCTAATTTTTTTTTTATCCTATTTCTTTATTTCCTTTTTCTCTTCTCTCTCTTACCCTTCTTCTTCATCTCTCCCTTCTCTTTCTTCTCCGTCTTTTCCCTCCTCCCTTTCTCTTTTTTCCTTTTCTTCTCCCTCTTTTCCCAAATTCATCCAGATTCGCCAGAAAAAATCACCTCCCATAAATATAAACACAATTGTGATCACTAATCTATACCAGTTCTTTTATTTTGGATGTTTACATTATTAAGTGATGGTTGTTAGGATTGTGAAGCATGCCATGGAAATTATCAACCTTTTGACTGACTAGAACTCAATCCAAGCCATTGTTGATGCTATCATCAACAGTTATGGAAGTTAGACTTAGAGTTTTGTAGTTTATATGAACTGCAATTCTTATATGGATAATTGAGTTTTCTTGAATTGGATAATTGGGTTGTGGTGCATTAAACTGATATTGTTGGAAGGGGTGTTGTAGAAAAAGACAAAGATGTTGCTGCTGCTTATGCTGATGTTGAATGCGTGCTGGATAACTTTGGAGGATAGGGAAGTGGCTGAAGACAATAATAAAGATGGAGGATGGAGCCTGTCAAGGCTGCTATTAGTTTGGGTTGGTTTAGGACATTTAGATAATGTGTATAATGTTGTATTTTCATGTAATTGACACATTTCAGATTTCAAAAAAAGCAATTCAATATTTTTTCCCTTTTTTGACTTTGAGTTTATTTAGGGATGTTGTTAAATGAAATGAATATGTGTTGATGCAAATAGGTTATCAAATTGAGAAGAAAAGATGGAATGAATATGTGTTGATGCAAATAGGTTGTCAAATTGAGGAGAAAATATGGAATTAATATGTGTTGATGCAAATAGGTTGTCAAATTGAGAAAATATAGAGTTAATATGTGTTGATGCAAATATGTTGTCAAATTGAGGAGAAAATACATAATTAATATGTGTTAGGCATGATCGCTTAAGCAATGGCGTATATTGCTTAAGCGATCAATGGTTTCCTATATTGGATCGCTTAAGCGAGACCTTACATCGCTTAAGCGATCGTGCCCCCAAGGGATGATCTTGATTTTGCCTTTCACTTGATCTCTTAAGCGAAGTACGATATCGCTTAAGCGACGAAGGCTAAATACATTGGATCGTTTAAGCGAGTCATGACATCGCTTAAGCGATCGTACACTTGAGGATGATTTTGTTACTGCCTTGGATATGATCGCTTAAGCAAAGTATGATATCGCTTAAGCGACGAAGGCTAAATAGACTAGATCGCTTAAGCGATCATGCACAAGGGGATGATCTTGATTCTGCCTTTCACTTAATCACTTAAGAGAAGTATGGTATTGCTTAAGCGACGAAGGCTAGATACACTAGATCGCTTAAGCCATGACATCGCTTAAGCGATCGTGCACAAGGGGATGATCTTGATTCTGCCTTTCACTTGATCGCTTAAGCAAAGTCTGATATCGCTTAAGCGACGAAGGCTAAATACATTAGATCGCTTAAGCAATCCATGACATCGCTTAAGCGATCATGCACTAGAGGATTATCTTGATTATGTCTTTCACTTGATCACTTAAATGAAGTCTAATATCGCTTAAGCGATGAAGGCTAAATACACTAGATTGCTTAACCAAGCCACGACATCGCTTAAGCGATCGTGCGCTTGAGGATGATTTTTTTACTGTCTTGGACATGATCACTTAAGCAAAGTATAGTATCACTTAAGCGACGAAGGCTTATATATACTTGATCGCTTAAGCGGCAGATGCATCGCTTAAGCCATCTTTTCTTTGTGTTTGGATTATTTGACAACCTCATATTAAGTAATGTTAATGTTAACTTGGGACATTCACAACATCACAACATTCGGGAGAAAAGAAGCAAAAAGTTATTTTGATAACAGAGCCGATGTTCATAGTCAAAAAGTTTTTGAAAAATTTTGGCACTCTCTCGATCTACAGAGTACAGAGCAGATGGTTGCAGAGTTCAATTTTATATAAATATAATATTTATATATCTATTATTTTCTTGCCAAGAGCTAACAAAAATAATAGAATAACAATAGATCATTCAGTTTTATGTACGGTGTTGACTGACAAAGACCGAAGTGTTATTTTCACATTCTATTGAAATGATAAAAATAATTAATAATAATAAATATTAAATATTAAATACAAAAGGACTAACAATAGTAATAGCATAATCGTAGATCATTTAGTTTTATATACGGGGGTGTGACTCTACAAAACCATCTACACAAACAATCTTTTGACTAGTCATTCAAACTTCGTTTACTCCTTAAAATAACAACTCTTTTTAAAATCAGACCGAGAATAATCTCAAAAGAGTGTAATATTTATCAGGGCTCTAAAAATTTCACCATCTTCTTCTTCGTCCATATCTCAACTCTGAAGCTATTTTCTTGTTTGAACTCTTAACATCTTTATGTTCCGAAGAAAGAAGAAGAATATATGTTCACTAAGCTTGCATAGTTATCTAGTTCTCTTCTACCCAAATCTCTACCCTTGAATTTGAGAATGATTATTGTAGAGTATAAAGGAAATTAGCCTTGATCGCTTAAATGACGCAGGATATCGCTTAAGCGATCACGACTTATGTATACTAGATCGCTTAAGCGATCTTGTATTTGACAATGAAATATTCAAGAACAAAAGGAAATTCGTTTGATTGCTTAAGCGATCCTGTCCCAATAAGTCGTTATCGCTTAAGCGATAAACGGCGTCGCTTAAGCGATCAGGGCTAATTTCCTTTATACTTAACAATCATTCTAAATTCAGGATAGCTTAAACGATGTGGGATCTTGCTTAAGCGATCCAGTATACATAAGTCCTGATCACTTAAGCTATAACCCACGTCGTTTAAGCGATCAAGACAAATTTCCTTTTGTATTCGGAATAATTCATTCTCAAATACAAGATCGCTTAAGCGATTTTAAATCTCGCTTAAGCGACCCAGTATACATAAACTGTGATCGCTTAAGCGACCCAGTATACATAAACTGTGATCGCTTAAGCGATACCCACGTCGCTTAAGCGATCAAGGCAAAATTTCTTTTGTACTTAGAATAATTCATTCTCAAATATACGATCGCTTAAGCGATGTCATGTCTCATTTAAGCGATCCAATATACATAAGTCATGATCGCTTAAGCGATCAAGACTAATTTCCTTTTGTACTCTACAATAATTCATTCTCAAATATAGGATCGCTTAAGCGATATCAGATCTCGCTTAAGCGATTCAGTATACATAAGTCGTGATCGCTTAAGTGATAGACCACGTCGCTTAAGCGATCAAGGCTAATTTCTTTTTGTACTCTAAATTAATTCATTCACAAATACAAGATCGCTTAAGCGATGTCATATCTTGCTTAAGTGATCCAGTGTACATAAGTCATGATCGCTTAAGCGATATACCACGTCGCTTAAGCGATCAAGGCTAATTTCCTTTATAGTTTAATCATTCTAAATTCAAGATCGCTTAAGCGATGTGGGATCTCGCTTAAACGATCCAGTATACATAAGCTGTGATTGCTTAAGCGATGGACCACGTCACCTAAGCGATCAAGGCCTATTTCCTTTTGTACTCTACATTCAATATTCATTGTCAAATACAAGATTGCTTAAGCAATGTCATATCTCGCTTAAGCGATCCAGTATACATACGTCGTGATTGCTTAAGCGATATACCACGCCGCTTAAGCGATCAAGGCTAATTTCTTTAATACTTAATAATCATTCTAAATTCATGATCGTTTAAGCGATGTGGGCTCTCGCTTAAGTGATCCAGTATACATAAGTCGTGATCGCTTAAGCGATAACACACGTTGCTTAAATGATCAAGGCTAATTTCCTTTTGTACTCTACATTAATTCATTCTCAAATACAGGATCACTAAAGCGATTTAAGATCTCGCTTAAGCGATCCAATATACATAAGTCGTGATCGCTTAAG